CTGTGTGAGTATGGTTTCCTGCAGATCCGCAGAAAATACCTGTACTAACATCTCTAGGGTCATCTGTGATATCATATCTATTCATACCTTGTCTATCAGAACCTGCTGCAAGATTTGTATAACCTCTTTTTGTCATTGAATGTGAATGCTCTCCATTAGTAGATGTTGTTGCACTGAACCTATGGGAGTGTGGTGGAAGGTTTTCAACTCTGATAGTCTTTGAACCACCAAAGTCCATTGATGAGTTAGAACAGTAAAGAAACTGATCAACAATCGGTTGCCAAACACCTCCATAAAGGGTTTGCGGGCTTGTTGAGCTCATTGATGTAAATATAGAACCAATTGGATACATCATGTCAAACATGTTAGAAGGTCTATAAGTATAATCTACTGTGGTGACATCGTTCAAATAAAACTCAAACGTATCTCCAGGATGAATAGTTAAGTTTGTTCCATCTTTTTTGTGGAACACAAGTTCAATAGATTTACCATGACTCAATGTATAGTAACTTGGACCTTTTTCTGATGGACCAATGTTATAATTTATAAATATTGCAACTTTACCCATATCATTATTACCAAAGCTAACTGTAATGCTTTCAGGTATTCCATTGTTTACAGATGCATTAGAGATCTTTGAGATCTGTTCATTAACATAAGTTTTGTCTGCTTTGTTGTCTAACAGAACTGGTAACTCATGTGCTTTAAAGTTGTTATAACTCATAGACATATTATATGCAGTACCATTCAAATTTTGCAAGGTCTCTGTTAAACTCATATGAGGATCTTCTTGTGGAGCACTTGAGCCTAAAGTATAGTTCAAGATAATGTCATCAGCTCTTATTTTCTTGATTTGAACTGGTTGGTCATTATCAGCTCCTATTTTATTGATTATAACAGGTTTGTCTTCTCTTGAACGAATTGATTTAACTGTCAAAGGTTCAGTGAACTCATTATTTTTCAAAGGAATCAATGTTGTATTGATGTTTTCACCATTAATATATACTTCTTTTGCATCAATACCAGATGGGAATGAAACTCTTTCATTAACTTTAACTGTTGTACCATCACCTGGGTACATATCTTTCTCTGGACCTTTGATTGTCTTAAGTATGACAGACTGTGATAAAGTATATTCTTTAGATGCAACTTTACGTATCTCTTCGTCAACATAACTTTTGTCAGCTTTGTCTGCAATCTTAAGTGCAGTTCTTCCTCCATTATTTTTGTTCTCCTCAACTTTCTTCGCTAATTCAGCAAGAATGAGATAAAGATAATCAGTAAGGTCATCAGTACCAGACATAGTAATATTATTGTTCTTTCTTGATGTATTAGCAACTTTCACTAAGGTCACAAAATCAGGGTACAAAGTACTTAACGTAGAAATGATTGTTTTTGGTCCAGGATCTTTCTCTTCTTTATCATTAGCATCACGTGCATTGAATTGGTTCCAAAGGTCCAGTCACATCAAAACTCTCAAGTTCCATATAACCTTCATTTCTGAATCTTTCTATATGAGTTATCTTCTGGAAACTTGTTTTAGTCTTTTCAACTAAATTTTTTATTCCATCCACAAAACCTCCTTTATGATTTGGACCAAGATTACCCAGAGTGTCAAGAACAGTATCTATACCTTCTTGACTTTCAACAAAAGCCCAAAGAGCATTTATTTGACTCTGGAGTGATATCCATGAGGCTGCAGTAGCACCGTTTGCTATGGCAAAGATGAATGATAAAGGGTTGAACTTAAGACCAGATTCTTTATCTTTGACAATTTCAACGAAGTCATTGATATTTTTCTTCAAGTATTCCTTAGTCAGAAGAACTCCATCGCCAGCTATACCAGTTGCTTTTGTCTTTCCTTTAACATCAAATGTGATTGGTTTCTTCAATAAAATAACTTCTGGTGTTGTACTGATGCTATCATTAGTGGAGAAAAATTCTCCGACATGACTTGCTAAGTATTCTTTCGTCAATAATGTTCCATCACCAACAATACCAGTTGCTTTTGGACCATCTTCTGTGAATGTCAATGGTTTCTTTAACATAACTTTATCTAAGTATATTGCAATACCACTATTTTGTACTTGTTCATGACCTAATATATAAGCAAATGCTGCGTTTAAAGCATTATACAATGTATCTTCTTTAAATGTTAATTGACTGTTTTCAATCATTGGTATATTGAACAGTGTAGACCTTGGGTCAAAATGAACTCCATGGTCAATCGATAATAACCGTTTAACATGATATATTATAGTCTCTAATGCTTCATTAATATTTACCTCACGAGTTTCTTGCAAACCATTACTCGCCATACATGAAAACATATAATCTCTATCAGTTGTGAAGAATGGAGCATCTAAGTAATTATTCTCTACTTTTGTCACACGATTCTGTAACGCTTGAAGGTATTGATTTAAGTCTGTTTCAACAATTGTACCATCTGGTTGCTCGATAGGTAATATACCAGGACCGATGGTAATGTCTTCATCAGCACCTTCTTTATGTATGACTAAAGCATTATCAGTAATTCTGAGAGTATATTCTTTATATTGAAGTACGCTAGACTTATAACATTCATATGCATATGGAACAACACTCATTCTTTTACTACATATAAAAATGATGTATTATCTACAATCGACTGATCCTAATAACTACGGGACAATACAGTTTCAAGCAGATCCTAACATGGGGCATCCAAGTAAGATAAAGATGAGAGTAAAAAGTGTCAGTACTATGGCGAACTTTATTGTTTGTGACGAAACAGATTATTTTGTCTTACAGTTAGACGAAGATGGAGAAGAAAAGGTGTGTACATTTAAGTCAGCTCTTTCATTTGATATGGATACTATTGTATCAAAACTACAAGAGATTGTAACAAAACAGTTTGATTATTATAACAAGAAAAAAGGTCAACATAATGTAACAGTTTCACTGAGTGCTACGAATCAACTTATATTTACGTCACAGGACAAAGGACATAAAGTCTATTTAAAAGATGCTTCACATAGAGCAAATCTTATTTTAGGTGCATATGGAATAGAACTACCTATTGTACATAATTATTATCTACAAATGCCAAAACCACCTATGCTCAACTTCGGGTATCAGTTATACCTTCGTTCATCAATGTCTGTCATCTCTGGGTTCAATAATATTGACCAAGTTGATGATCGAAGAAAGATCATGTACAGATCTACATGTTATAACATCAATGAGTTCTGGATATCTGGTAAACCACTTATATGTAAGGAATCCTCACCATGGATAGATGCATTTCCATGGGAACTAACTAATGTTACGTTTACCTTAGTTGACTTCCAAGATCAGCCTGTTCGATTATTGTCACCAATGTTTATGGTGATAGAGATTAAACCAGATAAGCCAGAAGTTAGAGAAACCAATGATGTCAGTGATGATGATACAGAATCTTCGTACGATTATGATTACGATGACGATTAAAAAAAATAACGTATATTTTTTTATCGGTTATAAAAGTGCTCAATGCTATAAAGGATTAGTTAATAACTTTCCCAGAAGATAAGAGGTATGCTTGATATGTTTGGATCAAAATGCCTAAGAAAGCTAAAAATTACCAATAAATTAGCTCTGGCAATTAAGAATCAAGGTACAGGAAGTGTAGAGATATTTTCAAGAATGCTAAGAGCTTCTATGATGACTACAATGGTATCATGAATGTTCCAGCTTCAAATTCCCCAGTTGCTTTAGATCACGATCAGAGATCTCATAATAGAGCGTTAATGGAGATGCAACCAATATACTCAGACCCTCCACCAAAGATTGATGAGAGCGAATTAGCATACAAAGAAATACAGAATGCCTTTTACGTTGTTAAGAACATTAATGGTCAAAAACTTCCTGATGAGAAATGGTTAGACCCAATAACTAAAGCAGGAGAAAGATTCATTATGTTTAACATTGACCAATACAGTCCAAGAGGAAAAGATTACTTCAACAAGATGTTTCCAAGAGTTATGGCAAAGTTCATTGGACAGATAGACCTTTTCAAACAGAAGTGGACATTCTATTACGACTTTGATGAGAAGAGAAACATTTTGCGTCATTTGAACATCAATACAATGGGATCATTAGTTCATCAGTTACTTAATGAAGCTCCAATAGCAGAAGTACAAGAATTAGCATCTAAAGTCCTTGAATCAAACTATGACTTCTTCCTTTGTAGTATTCCTTCGTTAAGGAAGATCGAGATCTTTGACTATACAGCTTATTCAGATGTTGATGCTTCTGCTTTGAGAAAAGGAACGTACACACCATATAAACTCACAGCTGAAGAACAAGTTATGTTAGATACGATGAGAGCAGCAGGTCAAGAAAAGATCGCACTCAAGATCATCAAACAAAACCATTCAAAGAAGAGAAACAGGTCACGTAATGGTCAGCTTTGGACATGGACATGCAAATTACCTATTAACTTAGAGAGGTATCAGATCTTCAACGAACTTAATGCAGAGACAGCAAAGAAGATGATGAAAGATTCATGTTTCATCTACGCTTGTATTCAAGCTGGTGTTGACGAAGCAACAATTAATCATATGAGGGAAATCATTCGTGTCAAAGATTTTCCAATGTCAAAGATTAAGGTTATTGCCAAAGAAACAGGAATAAGGTTCCATGTCATCAAATACAACGAGAAGTATTCAAATCATTCATATACTTATGAACCAGATGAAGAACCAAAGATGACAGTAGAACTTTTATTAATGTATGACCACTACATGTTGAACGAAAAGCTTCCAATAAGTTCAATGTTCATCAAGAACTATGAAGATGTTTGTAAGTTGTGCAAGGATTGGACTTTAGAGAAGAAGATGTTAGTTAACAGAAGATATGAAACAAGGTATGCAATTAACTCAAAGTTAGTTACACCACTTGCAAAAGTCATTGAACTCTTGTTTGCTAACAATTATTTCGAACCAATTAGAACAGGAGAACTTTGCACATACTTCACAACGATGTATAATGAGAACCTTGAAGAAATGATTGACCTCACATACAATGAGCGTTATTGCGCAAGGATGAAGAAAGATTGGAGTTCAGAGACGAAGAAAGACATGAAGTTCCCAAGAGAACATGTTTTCTTTGCTGACTTCGAAGCATCAACTGATGGAAACATTCACAAAGCATACAACATTTGTTTCATGGAAGATGACGATGATGGTTATACATCAATTTGGGGAAGTGACTGTGCGTCAAAATTCCTCGAAGCTTTACCAGATAAGAGTTTAGTTTATTTCCACAACTTATCGTACGATGTCACTTTTCTCATGTCTCAGTTAGAAGAGATTACAGGAACTCCAATCATCAAAGGTTCACAAACGATGCAGATACAAGGAAAGTACAAAGGAAAACTTCTCTGCTTCAAAGACTCTTATGCAATCATCTCAACTAAGTTGGAAAGATTCCCTGAAATGTTTCACCTCACTAGTGGTGAAAAAGAAGTTTTCCCATATAATTACTACACGGAAGAGTTAGTTAATACAACTAAAGTTGGTAACATCGATGATGCCATGAATCATGTCAAAGATATTGAAGCTTTTAATGAGAACATTGAGAAGATTGAAGATTGCAAGATTGATGATGAACACTTTGACATGGAAGTTTATTCGTCATTCTATTGCGGTCAAGATGTACGCATTTTACGAGATGGCTTTCTTAAGTTCCGCAATGACCTCATGACTGAGTTTGAAATAGATGCTTATGATTATGTTTCAATAAGTTCTATCTCAAACAAACTCTTTGAGAAGAGAGTATATTGGAAGAACGGTAATCTCTTTGATCTTGCAGGAAAACCTCGTGAATATATTTCCAAGTGTATTCAAGGAGGAAGATGCATGCTAGCTGAGAACAAGAAGCAATACAATGAAGGAGAACTCATCACTGACTTCGATGCTGTATCATTGTATCCATCAGCAATTGCTAGACTTTACTGTTTAGAAGGAATTCCAAAAGTTATGACAGAAGAGATGAAGAGCAGTGAATACTTGTTGGAGCATCTCTTTGATGATGACCAAGCTGAACCAACAAAGGAAAAGTTCATCTCAGGATTTTACTGTCAGATCGAGATCTTGTCGATCGGTAAGAACTCAGCATTCCCATTGATTGTCGTCAATCCTGACATCAACCCTGACTTACATGTTGCCAGAAGTTCCAATACATGCTGCAAGATGTTCGTAGACCACATTACGCTTCAAGATCTGATCAAGTTCCAAGAGATCTCATGCAAAGTCATTGATGGATACTATTATGATGGAAAAAGGGACATGACAATAAGGAATGAAGTTAAGAAGCTCTTCGAATTACGTGCTAAGTATAAGAAGGAAGGTAATCCGATACAAGAGATCATCAAACTTCTTTTGAACAGTATCTATGGTAAGACGATATTAAAGCCCATTGACAAAAAGATTCGTTTCATCAAGGACAATAAGCTCACTGACTATATCATTAAGAACTATAATGACATACAGACAATAGAGTTCATCCCCGATTCCGAACTTTCATGTGTAAAGTCATTTAAACCTATCGTTCGTCACTTTAACTATTGTCCATTAGGTGTTTCAATCCTTTCTATGTCCAAACGAATCATGAATGAAGTATTCTTCACAGCAGAAGATTTGGGCTTGAAGTTGTTCTATCAGGATACAGATAGTTTACACTTGTATGAGAAGGACTTAGATAAGTTAGCAGAAGAATACAAGAGAAGGTATAACAGAGAACTCATTGGAAAAGCACTGGGTCAATTTCATTCAGACTTTGCAGAGATTACTGCAGGACATATGTCTAAGGCACAAAGATCTATATTCGTTGGAAAGAAGACTTACCTCGACGAATTAACCAATGACCTCAAGGAAATTGCTTTCCACTGTCGAATGAAGGGAATCACACAGGACGTAATTGCACTTACTGCAAACCAAATGTTCCCAGATGCGATACAAGTACATTATGACGAGAAGAAAGGTTTGTTCTTCCCTGAGAAAGTTGGGGAAAAATATAGCATCGTGGAATTGTACAAATCTCTTTATGAAGGTGATGAGATAACCTTTGACTTGTGCATTGGTTCGAAACCATGCTTCAACAAAAATAAGGACTTCACTATTTCAACGAAGTCATCTTTTGAACGTAAGTTAAAGTTCTAAACACTTACTTATTATTTTTCTTAGCTTCTTCCTCTTCTCTCAATTTCTTTGCAATCATTCGTGGATTCTTTGCGCGTCCAGCTGCTAATGCAGCTAATTGTTTCTCTGTGAGTTTACGCTTTGGTTTAGCTGGTTTCTCTTCTTGTGTTTGTTCTTTTGGTTTGAGTTCATTAAGTATTTCTTCACGAAGTTCATTCTTGAGTGCTTCTCTGTCGAAAGTATTCTCAGTCATTTTGTTAGGAGTAAAAAATTTTATTAGGATAGAAATGACGTCAAAACTTTCACCAAGTGAAAAGCAATCAATCATATTGAATGAAGCTAAAGGAATACAACATCCATTATATTATGTTTGTCATATGAAGAATGGTTCAGTTCAAGTTAGAAAGAGAAAGGCACCATTGAATTCACCAGCTCCTGCCCCAGCTCCTGTTGTTCAAGAAGCTCCTAAAGTTGATGAGAAGAAAGAAGAAGAACAAGCATATACTAATAAAATGTTGTTAGAGATGATGACAAAGATATTAGAACGTAACAGTGTAGTTAATGAACCAAACATGGACCCAATTGAACGTGAGAAGGAAACTAAAGAGAATCAAGAATATGTTCAATCAATGGAAGAGAAAAGAATACACTTCGATGATGAACCAGAGCCTGAACCAGAACCTCCTAAACCTCAGCCACAAATAAGACGAATAATCCCAAGAATAAGAAGATTGTAAATTTTTTATAGCTGAGAAAGATGTTGAACGATAACCTCAATACATACAGTATTGCTGATTCCATCAGACAAGTAAGATATTATTTCGATCAAGTTGATGGGGCAGTTCCTATTGGAGATACTAACCATAGATATGTCCCAACAAAAGTGCCAGCTATGCCGACAAATACTATTGATAACGGTTATATTACATTTAACATATCACCACCTGGTGAGAACATGATTGACTTATATAATACGTTCATTAGTGGTTATGTCGATGGTGAGTGCATAATTACAACAGAAACTGAACCAGCTGATGAAAAAGTTCCTAAATATGATGGTGAAGTATATAAAGAAAGAGCTGTTGAGACAGCTCCTACAGGATCAAATGTTACAGCAATTAAAGCAATTGATACTAAATATGCTGGTGGCAAATCATGTGCACATCTTCCAGCAATTTGGTTGGGATACATTGATTCATTCTATGCTGTTGAATCATATCAATTAATCGCTAATGGTAAAAGTGTTTATACACAAGATAATGCTAGAGAAGAAGGTTACATTACTTCTACTGCATCTACAACAGAAGCTATTAAGAAAGTTGATGTATTTAGTAAGGCTAGACATAAAGATGTTTTCAATAGATGTGATACAGTTCGTTCTGGACAGATTATTGAGTTCAATAAACCAATTAGTGGTGCAACTACATTAAAGTTCCACATACCAATCAAGATTGACCTAAGAAGATTCCTAATACTTAATAACATTAGATTCCTTCCAGCGTTTGCTGGTAACTTACAACTTAAGGTTAAGTTCAGTATTGCTGGTATGGTTTGGACACCATTAAGTTATCAGGATATTCTACCATTACCGAACATGCAAGCCAATGTTACAAGCTATATTCCAATCACTAATCACTTCACTCCTATCTATGAAGGTATCAAAGTTATTGATACTGTAACTTGGAATGCCGATAAGAGTACGATATCATTTGGTACCAAGTTTATTAAGTTCACTAAGAAGAATGCAAACTTCTTTGAAATGATTACATACTGTAACTCATTCTCTTTGGACCCTAACATCTATAGTGATTTGGTGACAAGATATTCGGCAAAGACTCTAAACTTCCCAATCAAAAGAATTGACTGCATTACTATGGATGGTTCAATGGCTAAAGGTGAAGGAACTCCTTGTACATTCACGGCAGCATTTACTCCATTATATGTGAACACCATTTATACACTATTTAAGAAAACACCTAATTATAACACTACCTATGAAAATCCATTGTTTGAACAAATTCAATTGAACTGTGGAGCATATGGTAACATACCCGCTGAGGCTCAAGCATCTAATGATCCAATCTTCTATGAGATGCAGGCAAATGCCACTAACAATAATAACGATACTGTTGGCTTCAACTATGATGTCATGAGGTCTATCACAACCACATCAGTCCCTCAATTTGGAATCGAGTCAAATGACTTAGGTCATTACCTATGTGGATTCCCTTGCGAAACTGATTATACATTCCAACAGGGTCAGTTATCTAATTCACCTATTACATATAAGCTTACAGTTAAGCCAACAGCAGAGTCTATTAAATATACTGAGAAACCAGTGTTATGCTTCTTACGTCACGTTTGCCTCTCCATACAGATTAAACCTGTGGGACCACCTATCGTACTTCTCGACGATTATGATTTATCAGCCCCTGCTAGTGAATAAAGGTTAGTTTACATATGAACGTTTATTTTTACACATATATGCGTACATATGCGCGCCTGTATAGTGTCACTTTTCTGTCACTTTTTCATTGTGCCGGTGCCTGTAGCTGTAGGCTACAGGCGACGCACAATGTATACTGTACTGGCAATTACCTTAATTTTGACAATTCTCCCTACTTTTGTAGTAATTTACACAGCATTCTTCATGCAGAAGTCATTTACAATCAACACATCTCCTGATTGCCAAGCTTCCGGTTATTTGAAGACACCTTATTCAACAATGAGAATTTCGATGCTTGCAACCGCACTTTCCTTCATAGAATGTTATCCATTGGACACGAAAGGCCCTAATAGACAAGAAGTTAAAGATTTACTCGATGTCAGAGAAAAATTATTTTCTGAAACAAAATCTGATCTCGGAACACATCTAATTAAGGTCAGGAAGCAACTGCAGTCATGGATAGACATCATGGATAAGTACAGATGGCAGTATTCTCCTTTAGATGACTCACAAACAAAAATTGCTGCAAATGGAAACGGTTTTGAACGGTTAGCCTCTCAAAACTTTTTAATGCAAACAGATACAGCTATTTTACTTATCAGTATCACCGAACCAGGTCTTGAACAATCATTAGAATACTTGAATTTCCTTAGTTATTACTTTTATTGGTTAAATGACAATGTTGAGAAATATTACTTCGAAACAATCGAAGAATCAATACACAGTGATACAAACAAAGGTAATGACTTCGTTCTGCCATTAACTTTAATTTTAGTTTTCTTTGTTTTGGTCACTTTTGTCTATTTTCTTTACAATGCTCACAAAAATTCAAAAATTTTACAAAAATCAATGTCACTTTTGTTGTATATTGATCCCATGGTTATTTTGTCACAGAACACAGTTATGGACATGATACAGAGTGGCAGGTGCAAGACTGTCAATACGGGAGAACTTCGAGAAATCAGACAGATTCACACTTTTGACAAAAACAGGAATTGCTGTTTTAGACAGAGATCTTGAAATAACTGAATGCAACCAACAGTTCGAAAAGATATTCCCCAACTTAAAGAACTTCCACGAACTGGAACACACAAAGGATTGCGAGTATTTTGTGACAAAAATCATGAATAACTTTGTAAAATGCGAAGAACCAAGATTTGAGAAAATAATTGAATTAAATGGTTCTTATTTCGAAATAGAATGCATCTGTTTCTCTGATATGAAGGAGTCTTTGGAATTCGATACAAACCAGGTAACAAGCTGTGTAGTAATAACTAGAGATATTACGTGTTCTGTAAGAAGTCAACAAATAATTGAGAGAGAACATAGAAATATTTCTGAGATGCTCTCAAAAATTTTACCTCATCAAATTGTTGAAGATATTGATAACGGAGGAAACAGATTGTCGTTCTCCGCACACTTAGTAACAATTGGTGACATCTCTTTCACTCCAATTTTCGATGAACAACCAGAAATTTCCGGTCAAAGTTCAAAATTATCATTATCTCCAATTGATGAAAAATCATCAGAGAAAAGTGACAGCATGCCAAAAAGTGACAAATATCCAAAAAGTGACAACCTTTCAAAAAGTGAAAGCACCTCTAAAAGTGACAATGTTCAGAAAAGTGACAATGTTACAAAAAGTGACAATATTCCGAAAAGTGACAAAATTTTTAGTGATGAAAAACAAAAAGTTCCGGAGAATTTATCATCAAATAAATTGAATTTCAATGATGATAAAAATGATATTTACAATTTGATTTCGCAGAGATCAGCAAAGAATGAAGAAATACCACAACAAAATTCAAGAAAATCAATCTATCAATTGAATGACTCTACAAAAACCGAAATTTCTTCTCAAAATTCCAAACTATCAATCAATGGCAGAAAACCAGTTTTTGCCAAACCAAATCTTGACGGAAAAGGAATCACGAAGTACCAGAGTTCAGGGTTAATCATGAGGAAGAAAGACATCGACATGAAAGACATTGATAAATTGGAAAAAGTTCAGAATTTCAATTCGAAAATGATCTGTGTTTTGGATGAATATATCTCAAAATATAAAACACTGTCAAAAGTGAAGTCATTTATGAACAATTACAATTTTTGTGGCGGATTGTTTATGAGTGTAAACAAACCTGTTTGGAAATTACAGTTATTTTTTCAGTGTCATTAAAAAAACATGCAGAAGAAAGTGTTAGGTTCTGTTTGGAAATTTTGAGAGATCATGACAAAATTCAGAAAATTGTTGGATTTGATTTTGTTTTCCAGATTGGTTTGCACACAGGAGGTCCTGTAATTGCAGGAATTACATCACTAGATTACCCAATGTTCAGTCTTCTTTCAAATGTATCTGATTTACCAATTCTTATGAGAGATAAATGTAATGAAAACACAATCAAAGTTACGCGCGCTGTTTATGAATTAATTTTCTCATTCGGCTTCCAGATTTCTGAAAGTCAGAATGTCAAACACGGGGATGTCTCAATTCCCGCTTATACTATTGTTTTATGAATAAAATCTTTTATTATTGTTTTGTTTTTTCTTAAATCAACAGTTATTTTTTTTAATAATGTGTTAGCAAAATCATTGAATTTTAATACTCATTATTATTTTTTATTTAATAATGTGTTATAATACTGATTCATTGTTTTGTTTTTTCTTAAATCAACAGTTATTTTTTTTAATAATGTGTTAGCAAAATCATTGAATTTTAATACTCATTATTATTTTTTATTTAATAATGTGTTATAATACTGATTCATTGTTTTGTTTTTTCTTAAATCAATAGCAGTGATATTATAAAATTTCAAATTTCAAAAAGTATTGTAATTGAACTAAAATCATATCCTCATTAATTCTATAGTCATTCTATTATTTCCCTTACAATATTTCAGATAAGTTGAAAATTCATAAACTAAAAGAATGCAGATTAGAATTGTTTTCTGTTAATGAGGAAAGATTAGATTGCTCATAATATTGAATAGATTGTATACTATTACCATAAATCCAAAGGCAAATCATATCTTTTCCATATTTCCTTTCTCAAAGCATAAAAGTAAAGGTCTTGATTCATAATTTTCCAAATTGATATAATATTAACTGAGATCGTTAGTATACATTAATTAAATATATATTTCTAATTAAGTAAAAAACAATATATAATACAAATTTATTCTAAAAAGTCAAAATTAAGATTTTCATCACTATCATTAATTAAAGTTGTTTCCATTGCCATTCGCAATTTTTCAGCAAGGATTGCAGGATTTTCATAATCTGGGATGTCGATGTCGCTTGAACAAGTGTGTGCTACTGGAAGAGGTTTCTTTTCATCAGGAATTGGATCGTTATTATCCATATAATAATTGTGAGCTTTGATTCTGAAATGTCCTGAAGGAATTGTCGAGCTTCCAGTAACGAATTCCAAGAATTTCTTCAATTCTTCACTAGAAAACAGAGACAAACATTTGATCAATATTTCTGATTTAACTCCTTCAATGTAAGGAGATAATTTCTCAAGAGTTAAAGTATCATCACCGCAACACAATGTCTTGATAATTTTTTCGGACATCATCGAAATTATCTGAGTGTTTGGAAGAACTTTGAGAAATCCATTACGAATAATTTCCAATTTTTCGCAAAGTTTGTTGAAATATTCTTCTTTGTCTTCTCTTTCATTGATTTTTGCATCAATTTCAAGGAGATCTTCTATTTCGATCTTTCCTTTAAATATATAATTCCAGAACAAATCAGGGAGTAAAAACTGATGAGGATGATCCGTAATCATGCAGCAACAAATAAAAGAACCGGCATAAGACAAAAATTTTTCATCACATGAAAAGTTGGGAATCAAAATTTTTTCTGAGTTCAAAATCGAATTTGGAGATAACTCGAAAACTCCCAAATTAGGATTATTTAGTTCTTCCGCGATTTGAGCAATTGATTCTCTCATAGGACCGCCTGCATCAAATGCTCCTTCTCCAACAAATTCTGTATACCATGGTCTGCAAGAATCACACAAATCTTTGACATCTTTAACTTGTTCAACATATTGCGAAAACATTGTTTGTCCATTCCATCTACCTGTGAACTTCGGAGTATCGAATCTATCAAAAGAAATTTCCAAAGTCTCTTTGTGGTTTTCATTTTTGTCGATTTCTTCTTCCAAGTATTCCCTTGCTTTCTTTCTGTCGAATAACGTGAAAACTAAAGGAAGTTTTGTTGCATTTGTAAGACAATGAATACGTATACCAATAATCCAATCAGGAATTCCATCAAATTTCTTAAGATTTGCTCCAAAAAAGATGAATTCTGCAACAGCTAAATCAATTTCTTTGAAATCGAAACTTTCAAATTTTTCAATTTCTTCTTTTGTTGAATTGTTTGGAATAATTAATTCGAATTCATTATTTGTCAAAGGATCAAATGAAATTAAATGATCTCCTATAAAAGGTTCGTTTGTTATGTCTTTGGAATCAAGTTTAACATCTTTTCCTTCGACAAATTTTGTCAAATAATTAAATTGAATTTTTCCTTGATTTTGGAGTTTGAATTTATAGTTAAAATCAGGTAAATTCAACAATTGATAAGGAATTGTATGTTTACAGATATCAAACATACATGTTGCCCAATAAGACAATTTATTCCAAGCATCTCGATTGGGAATCATTGGAACTTCTTTGTTTTCATTGAAATATTTATAACAAATTGATTGCCACAAAGCACCAATATTTACATTTTGGTTTGGATTTTCCAATTCACATAAATGTAAATAATATTCTGCTGTTTCGAAATCTTTTATCTCAATATTCTTCAAAAACTTAAGCATTTCAAAGAAAATTTTGTTTTCTTGAAGAGTTTTTCCAGAAATTTTTGGATATATTTCTAGAATTGGGAATTCAGAATTCATTTCGCATAATTTGTAAAGAGCAAAGAAAACTCTAAGCTTTTCATCATAATCATTGATAAATTTTGGAAAAATACCATCAATTTTTTCCAATTTTTGATCAACGATTTTGAGATTTTCGAAATATTTCAAATCAACTTTGAAATCTAATTTGAAATTGTTTTCATGAAGATAAAAAGACTTAAATGATATAAGTTTGATTATTTCTTCAGCATTGAGACCTAAATTAACCTTTGAAATCAATTTTCTAGCAGTAAAAACACATAATTTCGTAGTAGTTCTCAAAAGTTTTTCTTCATAAAAATATTTTTCACTTGGAAACAAAGACAAAATTTCTTGTGCATTTCTAAAACAAGAAAATTGTTTTTGGTTAATTGGTACACATTGTTTGGTGTTGAAAGTGAAAATCTCTGATTCTCCGGTCGTTCTCTTGATAATTGTTGTTAAATTGTCGTAATCTAAATCAATGATTTTTCCTTCTCCAACATTTTTGACAAAAACGGTTTTGCCAATGTAAAATTTCGGAAATTCAAAGTTATAAAGTTGATTTGAAATTTTTGATTTAAAGGTCTTTTCGATGGCATTCACTTCATTGAACTGGAACTCGAAATGAATCTCACATTTGTTATTTAACGTGAAAACAAAAGGATAAACAAAATCATTGTTTCTGAAATCTTGAAACAAAGCAAAGGTTTCGTCTTCTGTTTTTTCATTGTAGAATTTATGATTTGTTTGATCATTGTCAAGTGTTTGAACATGCATTCCGATGACTCCATCTCTTCTTTGTTCAAAAGAAATCGAATAAGGATTTCCTTCGATTTTATAATAATGATTCAAAGAATTTGAAGCGTAAATCTGCTGTGCAACATCATAAACAATGATTTCTTCTTTTTCATTGATGAAGCCAATCCAAATCAAGTTATTTTCACGATCTTTGATATCAAATTTCAACTTGAAAATATCATTTGGATGGATTTTGTTGTTGTAAACGAAAAATGATTTTCCAAAATGATTTGTTTGTAAAACATTCTCTGTTGAAACACCATTGCATAAACACATGAATGTGTTTGATGTTGGAGTGTTGTTAGGAATGTTTATTCTTCTCCAAAATGAATTCTTCAGGTTTTGTAAAGTTGTCAAATTTTTGAAAATTTTTTGGAAACAAAACTCATTGATTTTTGTTTTTCTCAAGTTTTGTTCAACAATTTCTTTGTTTTCTTGTGAATATTCACATGCTTTCTCCAAAAATGAAAACAAAACTGTTGCCTGAACCAAATTTTTGACATTTTTATAGCCAAAACCGTTGATTATTTGACAAATGTCAAATTCTTTTGGCAAATTTACAGAAGGAGGCTGGACAAGGAAATTAAATTCCATGTCATTAGGATTTTTGAGGTTGAGTTCTTTTGGCAACATTTTGTTTTGATTTTTATCGAAAAATCCTGGCAAAGATGCATTTTCGAAAATTTCTGCTCCCAAAACAACCAAAATTCCTAATGTTTCATCATTTAAATCTTGAGAAAAGAAAGACATCAATTCGTCTCCTTTTCCTTGGTATTGGTACCTGATTACGTCAACGTACTGGGAAACTAAATATCTGTTTTCTTTGATTTGGTATGTATTTGATCCAATAAATTTCAATTTTTCATGAATTTCGTCGTAATAAGGAACAAATTTCAACATATTCGAGATCTCTTCATTCATTATGTTGTCAGGGAATATGTCATCATAATTAATGAACTTCAATGCAAATGAATTAAAGAAATGATCATCACTTTTCGAAATCAAAAATTCTGACAATTTTTTGTCAGTTGAAAATTTTGATTTTACATCAATCCATTCGATCAAGAAGTGCTTGAAGCATAAAGGAATGTAATTCTTGTCAACTAATTTCATGCAAAAAGAAACAGCATCATCATGAATTTGTATCCTTTTCTCTTGTTTATTTATGAGAAAACCGATTTCTGACATCATCATTTCTGACAACAAAAATTTTAAAGTATTTGAAACAGAATTTTTGAGGTCTTTGTCTTGATTCAAGCCCAACAAATACAATGATTTAGATTTGACTTCTTTAAGCAATTCGTTGTAACCGATAATAGACCTATTCTGTTTTGCTCTCATTAATTCTGTTCGAACTTTCAAATTTAATTTCCAAACTTTTATTATTTCGAAATCTAAATCATTTTTCATTGCTTTGGAAATCAAATTGCTTCTCCATAACAAAGCACAAAATGAATATCTCTCGGTTTCTTCGATTTCACTTGGAACTTTTTTGAAAACGGTTTTGATAAAATTTTTAAGGTTTTCTATCAAATTTGAATTTTTGTTCAAAATTATATCAGAAATGAATTCTTTTGAAGTTTGTTCATCAATAAAACAAGTATTGTTTCTTGAAATTATCTTCCTTGATGATCTTTCAACGATAGTTCCTGAGTTTTGTCTTGGAACTTTGATTTGATTTGTTGTTTTAATGATGTTTTCCAACAAAGGAGAATTTTCTTCTTCAATTTTTGTTTTCTTGAAACTTTCCAAACAAATCGAAATTGATTTCGAAATAATAAATACAGCATTGCAAACATCGAGATATTCTTGTGATAATTTAGGCGCATCAATAATTTCTGTACCTTTTAATGGGAATTTACAAAACTCAGAATCTTCAATAACTGTTCCTTCAAAATTTAATTCATTTTGGTAATCATTTCTTATACATGGTTCACCATTAAAATTGATTTCGCCGCAATTATAATCATGATCATGAGCTAAAATTGGTACATCCATGTTGAAAGGAATACTAAATTTTGGCTCGTCAACTAATTGGAAAGTGAAATCAAATGTTTTTGAATTCATTTTATGTTCTTGATTTTTGGAGCAAAAATATTCGTTGATTTCTTGAGAATTCTTCTGGGAAAGAAATGTTGTTATCAAAGGTTCCAGCATTACATTGATCTTCTTCATGATGAAACCACATAAAACTGGACAATTCGTAAATGAATTAACACATTCTCTCAATTTATTCATCGATTTTCTGAAAAATTCGTGATTTTCAGCCAACATTTTTTCTGAAAATGTCAAATACAAGTCAAAGAAAGGAACCAATTCCGAATCAAACTCCAAAATTGTATTGATATTATATGCTGCTTCAATCTTGTTAATCAAGAAATCATAAAGTTTTTGGTTGTCAAATTTTGTCAAAAATTTTTCTTTTTTGAGAAACAAAATTGAAATTGATTTTTTCATCAATAAATGTTCCAAATCCAAATCAGAAATTTGAACCAATTTCTCAATGAAATCCTTTACGAAATCTGCTTTATAGATATCATATGAACACAATGCAATCAAAGTAAATAAAGTGTCCATCGACATAACGAAATCTTTTGGAATTCGTTTCAAAACATAGAAAATTTTTGTCATTGAATTAAAAGTGAATTTCGATTTTTTGCATCCGACGTAAGATAAATTCAAAACAATCAATCTTGATATCAATGTCATTACATGATTCTTTGTTGTCTGATTATAGTTAGATTCCATTGTAACCATGCAAATTTCATAACATAAATTGACGATTTTTTCTGGATTTTGACAAAATACTTTTGAACGATCTTCTGAATAATAATGCATCAAATCATCAAATATATCACTCAATGATTCCAAATATTTGTAGCATATTTTGTTGATGAAATATTCAACATTTGACTTAGAACAAGGTGGAATAAATTTTGTCAAATCAGTATAATTTGATCCTGGATAAGTATCAACATAAAAATTTTCATTTTCATCTAAAAAACAAGTATAAAAAGTATCGCTAGTTCTAAAGCAAATACCATCATAATAAATGGAATTATTTGTCAGCTGTTTCGTAGTAAATGGTATTTTGTTTAAATCAATGTCGTATTTCATTCCATTTTTAAGATAAACGTGTAAAAACTTTTTGTAATTAAAAACTTTGTCTATTTCTGATTTGAATTTGTAACTGGTTTCAAACGTTTTTGGATTAAATGCTAAGAATTGTTTCCTAAAGAGTTTGATCGAAATTTCATCTTCTGACACTTTTTGAACGATAGAAACTCCAATTTTTGATTTGCAAACTGATAAAATTTGTTTAGAAGGATCAACGAAGTCTTTTAGATCTTTTACTGTGTATTTATCATCTCTTGATCTCTTGTACTGTACTTTTGTAGCAGAAATGAAAACATCTGTATCATTTTCATTGAAATAAAAAGCAAAATCATCAAAAACTTCTGACTTAAATATTAGTTGTAATTTTTTACCATCGAAATAGCAGGAAATGAGTTTTTCGCCTTTGGAGTCTATTTTTTGTACATTTCTGTCAATGGAAATATCAAAATTCTGTAAAGTCAATAATCGTTCTAATAATTGTAAAGAATTGAAAATATTGTTTGAAATTGACTCTAATTTGTAAAGTATTTCGATAATGGATGGCATTGAGTCTGGAAATTTTTCTTCAATTTCAGAAAATCGATCGATTATGTAGCCGATATCTTTTGTTTTTGCTCTTTTAAGTTCATTCATGAGATTATCAAAAGAATTGATAACTGATAAGGAAATATTAGGAGTGTAGTCGTTTGTATTTTGATTATCGAGTCTTTGATCTTCTGAAATTGTAAAAATTGTTTGTTCTTCTACTGAAAAATCAGGTTTTGTATGAAAGAATGATTTAGATATGATCTTGCCTCTTTGTATATCTGTTGTTTTTAATTTAACAAGTTTCTGGTATTGAGAAAATTTAAAATCGTCTGAATTATCCATGGATACTGTTGTAAAAAAGACGTCCGAGAAGTCACTGATGGGATGAGTTTTCGGTAAATAGGAAACAGTATTCATTGATAAAATGAGCTAAAATTTTTGACAATTATGACATAAAATTCAGAAGAAAAGTGTCATGTTTTCAGAAATAATTTAACTCTAAAATGTAGTAGACTATAATGTTAATATATTGAATTTAGAAAAATGACATTATAGAAAAGTGACATAATTCGTTATAAAATTTTCAAAAATTGTTTATGAAATAATTTTTCCATTGGCATCCAGTTATCTGAAAGTAAGAATGTCAAGTAAGAGAATGTCCTGATTCCCACTTACATGATGCTTTAATAACCCTACTATTTATAGTGTTTTTTAAGCTTAAGCGTGAAATTTCCACTTTCTAACATACTCTCAATTTTTTAGTCTCCCTAACTTTATGTTCCAATTTCCAAGATGAACAATATTTTTGATAGGCAATGGTGAAGGTAAAGCGTTACATAGAATCTAATATGGCTGATCTACTTATACTGATGTTATGAGTAGATTATCATACAGTGATAGTATGCCTTAAATATATTAAATTAACGCATATTAACGATCTCAATTTGCATTAACTAGGGTCTGGAAAATAAAATGTTCAAATTTGTAATAAAATTTAAAATTTATGATATACACATATGTACATCACTTTAGTTATGTTAAAGAGAACTAATAAGGATCTCGTATGGAGAAAAATCTTCTCCAACTCTAAACTTCAGTTTGGAGACACTTTACAAATTGTAAACTTCAAATTGGCAAAATATATATCTCAATATCAGTCATGATCCTAAATTTAACAAGCTTGTGCTCAAACTTGATATGTAGGAAGTACTAAACGTTTAATTAAGAATTGGCAAATTATATCAAGGAATATTTTTGTAATTTCATGAATAATATAAATGAAAGTAATCAACATAGAAATGTGAAAGCAAACTCCCTTAGGCTAAACTGATTTTATTGGGAATCAATGAAAAATATTTTAGATTTAATTTAATCGATGATCTAAGAGAGATCATTAATAGATTAGATGAAAACTATTGTAGTTTTATTCGTATTATCAAATAAAGATTGTTTTAAATTGAAAATGCATAAAAAATCTGGGATATGATATTTTGTGGTAGTGACTAATACCTATAGGTGAAATATAATATAAACTCGCCATAAATGCTGATTAACATTCAAGAAATAAAAATTCAAATAATATATCTAAATAAATATTGGAACTATTTCTTGGGATCAGTAGATCATTGAAATCCCAAAAATAATGCCCATAGGAAGTTTCCATGAAAACGAAGGCAATGCCCGTCTCCAAAGCTTCTCCATTTCTCCATCTCCATGGAGAAATTGAACTAGTCTGTCTTCTCCACCAATTCAAAATTGAATACTTTCTCCACGCCTCCATGGAGAAAATGTGAGGTGAACTCATTAGGAAGTACTAAACTTCTTCAATAATAGAGATGATAAATACGGAGGATCTGTTGAAAATAGAAGCAGAATCCTCAAAGAAATTGCTGAAAATATCAGAGGCAAATGCGGAAAAGATTTCTTGATTGCAACAAAGATCAATGGAAATGACTGTTGTGAAAACGGAAATACGGTCGATGATTACATTAAAATCATCAAAAACGTGAAGGATCTCGATTTTGTAGAAATCACATGTGGATTTTTGAATGATGCAATTGTAAGAAAAGCAAACTTCAAAGAAAATGGACTTAAATTCAAAGCTGGATATAATCTTGATGATGCATTGAAGATCAAAGAAGCAACTGGAATCAAAACAGCTACTGTTGGTGGTTTCAGGAAGAGAAAAGATATGGAAAGTGCTTTAAGCAAAGGAATTGATATGATATCTGTAGGAAGACCAAGTATCAAAGACCCTCATTTTGCAAAGCATTTATTCGAAGGAAAGGATTCAAAATGTGTCTCTTGCAATATTTGTGGTGATGAAATTGGATGTGCAAGAGTAAAATGCTTTGTTTATTAAAAAATAATACTAATTTTTATCGAAAAAAGATATTTTCATTGAGCGTTACCTGTTAAATCTTATCTAAATACACTCCAAGAATTCTAATATATATGTATTAAAACCTCCTAAATTTTTAAATTTTAATCGAAATTTGGATTTGATACATTTAAATACCTCGATTTTGAGGGGTAATATAATTCATATAGATTGAGTGTATATAATTACCTTTGTGGAATTTGATTTTACATTTTTTCTGAAGATTTGATTGAGAAATCAATATGCGACTGTGCTTAATAACAAAAGAATCATAGATATTCTTATAGTTTCGTAATTTACAGAAGAAAAGGAGAAAAAATATTTATTCAAACAGACAATGAGAAATAATGAATTCATATTTATATTAATTAAAAGTTTAAATTCTTAGTATATATTTTTATAGAGAAAGCAATGAAAGTTGCTTAAACGCATAAAATTGATAGTTTTTGTATAATATAAAAATATTTTAATGAAAAAGTAGGGAAAGTAGTAAAATATAATGATTTTGGCATATGCATAGTATTGCAAATCATATTTAGCGATTCTTTTCTTTTGAATCCTTGTTAAATCGAGATTTGAAGTAAATTTAGCATAATTCATGCTGATTATATGATGAATCAAATACAATTATTTAGGCAAATCAATGATGATGTCATTAAACGATAGAAAATTAATGGTTCTAGTCTTGTAACTTTTGTCCTTCAAATTCGGCTTCAAGATGACCTTTAAATTCTCCTGTACCTTTTCCAATAAGCCTTCCTACAAATTTACCAGAAATTTTTCCATTTAAATTGCCTTTGAAAACGATATTATTTTCAATAATGAGTTCCCCTTGAGCTTCACCTGAAAATTCGCCCGTAAAAATGCCTTCGAGTACTCCAGCATATGATCCAAAAAGATGTGCATCTGTATTCAGCAGTTCCATGATGAAAAAATCTATTTTTCAATAAATGAATTCAATTTTTACTGACAAAAAAGTTACAAAAATTTCAAAAATTAACATATTATGGACGAAATTGAGACTTCGTCTCAATTTCGTACATAATATGGAATTCTTCAGTCAAATTGAGTGCACCTGGAGAATATTCCATGGACGAAATTGAATGATTTACAATATTCCTCTCAATTTTTGTATAAAACCGATTTTTAGAAATTTTGTTGAATGAGACTCCAACATGTTTTTTTTTCTGGCGATAAGCTAGTGAATTCTGTCGAGGATATTTCACATCTATTCATACCATGTTAGAAAGTTCCAAAATGATTACAATAATTCAAATTTTTGTTGATTTCCATTTAATCAACAATTTAATTTCCACTTGATTCCTCTTCCAAACGCACAGAAGATTGTTTTCTTCTTCAAAGAATCATGCTTATCTACTTTATATCTTATTTTTGTTGTTATTTTAATAAAAAATTCTCTTTCTCTCCATTAAAAAACGAATTTGTAAATCATTCAATTTCGCCCATAATATTCTCCTGGATGCCCTCAATTTGACATAAATATAACATTAATTTACTTCATAGAATATATATATCAAGGAATTCTAATTTTTGTATTGTGAGATGCCATATTTTGACAAAATCTAAAATCATTCCCTACAAAGAAAATTGAGCGTCCCATTTGATGCATGGAGCGATTTTTATCAAGGAAATAATCAACTGCCTCCTATTAAATGTATCAATTGCTCTATTTCTATTTCAAATGCCGAATGTTTCGTATTATTAAGCTTATTCTTTGATTTTCGAAACGGAGCAATCAGCTATACATCAAACAATATCAAAGTATTGCATTCTGAATGTAATTTTTATAACAACACTAATCCTAAATCAGGCGGAGGTGTGTATTTTAACTGCAGCAGTTCTTTTGTTCAACATAAAATTTGTTCATTACAATCACAAGCATACACTTCATCCTACACAGGAGGTCATCACTCCTTTTCCGATTGTCTTGATTCAAAAAAAATAAATTTTATATATGATTCCACAATTTGCCAATGCGGAAATGAAAATTCACAGAAAACATTTTCTGCATTCAAAGGGAATGTTTCCATTCGATCAACAAACATAAGTCAATGCACTGCTCATTATTATTCGGGATACGGACTCTTTTGTACTATTGAAAACACAACATGCAAACCTGGATATGGTGTATTAGGTCATTATAATATGGCAAACTATTTTGTTACATTTTGCAATATTTTAAATAATCTGCAGAATAATACACAATATGGAATAATTTATTCCGATTCAATTATAACAATTGAATACTGTTCTATATTTGGAAATGAAGGCCCTTCTGGATTTAATCTATTTTATAACAACGTTGGATCATTTACAATTAAAAATTGTTTTGTTCAAAGTAATACAACTGTTCCAAATAATATAATTACAGAAAATTTACACACTGAAGAAAAATATTTAGATTTATCTCATTTTTCGACATGGAAATGTGAATCTCTAATTGATATAATGAAACAAACAAGAATACAAAACACAGATAGCATTCACTTGTTTAGAAAATTAAAAATTAATAATAGACGCCGTTAATGTTGTCACTTACACTAATATTTGAGTAGAAAGTTTCATATAATTTTTTTAGATGGCAAGATATATGTACATAAACTATCCTCGAAAATATGCTTAAGGGTGAAAGATTAAAAGAATCGGATTTTTCGCGGAATTTTACAAATATTGATTAAAATGTCACCAAACTTTTTCTGATGTATTGTCAAATTTTGACTGTAAACTATTGAAAATTATACTTGTTTGAAAAGAAAGAAAAGAATCCGAAACATAGAAGAAGAGAGAAAAATTATCATTTCTCAGGACCTTCAAACGATATCTGGATCAGATTTTATGGCGATGCTATTATTAACGTGTTTGTTAATTCAAATTGTTCAGTCACCCAAAATAGTCATGTATTTGTTGATTATGTTCTTTTTCAAAATTTTGATGGAACAGGTATTATTCGTATATCTCAACCGACATCTGATACCAAAGTTCTTGTCTCCACTTCTTCCTTTATTAATTCTTCATCTACAACAGATTATTCATTCAATTTAATGTATGTAGCTATGAATCTAAGGTACAAACTACAAGTGGGGCAGGATCACATTCACGTATTAAAGTAACATATGATGATAATCACAAAAACTTTGTAATTGATTCAGTATTTACTAAAAATACAGGATGTGAATCTGTTTTATGTCATTCTTGCGGATCTCTACTATTTTCATCAATAAATATTTCTGATTCCTACTTAGAGAATAATGCCGCATTTGAAAGTTATCAACCATATTCACTTTCAACAATTAATTTTAGTAATTTCAAAAATATATCTTCAAAGAAACAAGGATGTTTTATTCATTACTCAAAAACACAAAATTTTTATTTTTGCAATGTTATCGATAACGTTGTTTTAGAGAAGAATGATGGAATTTTCTATATCTATTATTCGGCAATTCTTTCAATTTCTAATTGCTTTTTCAAAGGTAATAAGGCTTCTAATTTTTTAAGAATTTTCTTCGGATCCCCACAATATTCAGTAAATAATTGTCGTTTTGAATCTGACAATAATTTTACAATGAACGTCGATTTTACAAATTCCGCAATAATGACAGAAATAGTTTTTTCTAATCTATATTCGCCTTTTTTATGTGAACTTCCTTTTAGAAATAAAAAAGATTCTATCAGCTTCCCAAATATCTCTCTTTCTAATTTGTTTTTTGAGGAAACATCATATTCTTCAAAATAAACTACATGATTTAGTTTAATGGATATTCACCGTTAATCAAGTAATTTGGTAAGTAGGAACGCCTTTTTACTATGGATTCATATGAAATTTCTATCATAAACGAGTTAATACAAAAAAGTATATATCAAATGACACCTCTTCATAGTGCAGAAAAATATTGGAAGAAGGATATCGTCGAATTTCTCACCATGCATATAGATAAGCTTAAGACAATAAAGATGCGTAAAAATGAAGCAATATATTATGAAAAAAAAATGATAAAGAAAAAGATATCTTAGTGATTCTTATATTAACTCCGTTTTTAATAGTCTACAAATTGCACACTCTACCTATTATAATGGTTAATTAATTCCGAAGTGCTGAATATTTCTCGTTTCAACATTCGATTGAAACAATTCTTAAATGATAGACATTTGTTCACTTTAATTTAAAAATCATCCAATGGAGATAAATGTAAAAAAAAAAAAAAAAAAAGGGATTGGGGCTTCCAGGCACTTCGTGCCCTCTAGCCCCGAAGATGTTTTGTCACTTCTCTGTCACTTTTCAGGGTAAAAACATTTTTATTGTATATAAAATGAATTTTACAAAACCACCGTTACCCTTCTTTGGAAATAAGAGTAGATGTAAAGATATTCTATTGAGAGAACTTAAGAAACTACCGAATGGTCTAACATTTGTAGATTTGTTCGGTGGAAGTTTCTATATATCTCATTTGTGCCATACCGTATTTCCTGACTCAAAGATTATATGCAATGACTTCGACAACTATATGAACCGTCTCAAACATATACCAGACACAAACAATATATTGAGTGAGTTGAAAGAAAAGATACCTATAGGCAAGATGGAACGTATACCATTAGATAAGAAAAATACTGTCAGAGAGGTTTTGAAAAAAGCAGAGTATATTGACTGGGATAGTATATCTTCTAGACTATTGTATAGTGGTTCTATAAGAGTTCATGACATTGAAACACTTATGTCAAACGTTTTATATCTTAACTATACAAAGGTTTTCAAAGAGAACATAGAAAAATATACTGAGGGTATAGAGTTTGTGAGATGTCGTTGGACAGAGTTGTATGAAAAATATAAAAACAAGGAAAATGTTTTCTTTATAGTAGACCCGCCGTTCTATAACACATATGATTTTCAATACCAAGTAGACTGGACTTTGAGAGACTCTTTAGAAACTTTAGACGTTTTACATAACCATCCATGCTTTTACTTTACATCCGATAAAAGTGGTTTGGAAAGTGTCATGAGATGGTTAGAGGACATACATGACTATGAGTTTAGATACGATAAGATAGAATATGAGAGAGGTCCTATAAACCGGAAAAAGTGTCATAACAAAGAAATTTTATTGGTAAGTAAATGTGGTTTGAAATAGGACTACTTGTTTTAGGTTTTTTCCATTGTGTCATTTACTTATTTGACGTGGCAGAAAGATATAGAGAATATGAAGATGAACCACTGCCTGCAAATGTTCAGCATATGTACTCGTAAGAGATATTTTTATCTAATATTAAATGGACGCACAGAACTTAGCGAATGCACAGCAACCTGGACAACCAAACCCAGAGAATATTCCAAATGAAGTTAGAATACAAACTGCAATGGCAAACTATGGTCAAGTGCCAACAGATGTACAAATGCAAACTGCCATGTCAAATGACGCTGCGTTAGGCTTACCACCATGGTATGCAAATATGAGATGGAAAGAGTTTTATACAAACCCTGAAGTGGGATATAAACAACTCTATGCAGATGACGCGAACACAGGAGTTGACCCAGAGTATGTTTTCTACCAGAGGAGAAATAGAATGTATGAGCTCCAGTTAAAAAATGCTATGGAACTCAACAGGAAACGTAAGAGACTAGGCGGACATTAGATTTTTACATATAGTAAAATGGGTTTCTTCAGTAGTATTGGAAACTTCTTTCGAAATGTTGGAAGAGGTATATGGAATGGAATAAAAACCGTAGGAAGAGGAATTTGGAACGGAGTCAAAAATATTGGTAAAAGAGTAGGTCAGTTTGTTGGTATTATACCTAAAGACCCTGAACCAGAAGAACAAGCTCCTGTTATACAACAGCCTGAACCTGCACCACAGTCTAGTTGGCAACCAAATCCAACACCTCAACCGTATTAAAATTATATTTTTACC